CCCCAAATTGATTTGTAATGTCAACATTTCTTGGTTAACCAATTTTAAAGTTAAATCATTCCCACTGAAAATTGATTCAATTTGACGGGGGGTGAAGATGTGAGGTCGAAGGCTCTGCGGATGAGGACGGGCACGAAGATTTTCAAGGAATCTGTGATCAAACGTTGGGGCAGAGGAAGGGGAAAGGGGAGCGCCACCAGAAGTCTAGGCCCTCCTCACTCAGTAGTATATATCGGTAATGGATGGGCTGGTTGTAAGACACATCAGTGTGCATTGTCTGCGCTATCACCATGGTTTGAAATAGCGGTCCGCTACCGCTATAGCGACCGCTATATAGCGGTCGCGGTAGGGGCCGCTACCGCTACGGCCCGCTATTCGTGTGTGATTTCCAAATCACGGGAAAAATCCGATACGCCGCCCGCTACAGCCCGCTATTGACATTTCCGGCAGTACATCACGAACTGTTTGATGTGTAAATGTGTAAATGTTGTGTGAATGATGTGAAAAAATACATTAATGGTGATGCATGGAGTGAAACTCAAAATTAAATGTTGTGTGAATGATGTGAAAAAATACATTAATGGTGATGCATGGAGTGAAACTCAAAATTAAATGTTGTGTGAATGATGTGAAAAAATACATTAATGGTGATGCATGGAGTGAAACTCAAAATTAAATGTTGTGTGAATGATGTGAAAAAATACATTAATGGTGATGCATGGAGTGAAACTATGTTTTCTGCAATTGAAAATATTTCACGCCGCTGCAATCGCTACAGTCGGCTACAGGCCGCTACCGCGATGACCACTACCGTTACCACTACCGCTGCCGCTACGGCTATTTAAAACCTTGGCTATCACGCATCAATGAGGAGGAACAGGGTCCCAAATACAAGCTTGTTGAGCCACTACAGTGTATCAACTGCCCATCTCTATTTCGTCACACGTTCCTCTATCATTGCAACTTTATTGCTAGGCCTGAAAATGGAAGTGCTGCTGATGATACGCTCTCTTTTGCGGAATTAGAGGGGAAACAAGAGAAGACTGGCGGCCAAATCACTCTCACCCTCCTTTTCTGGTGCATTTTAGGGCCCTGTGATTCTGGGGGTGACTGTGAAAATTGTGGAGCTCTTCCAGGTTGGGTCAAACATCCTAAAAGCGACGGGTTCCACAAGTTTGTTGAGCCTGGTGCCGTTTTATGGTGATGGATACCGCCTACCTCGGGCAGGCTATGAATAAAATGACGGTAGCAATTCCCAACTCTCTGGAAAATACTCTGATTAATGCTTGTTATTAATGCCAATACACGGGCGTATGTAGTTTTTAATTCAGGGAATAAGAACTCAATCCTCCTATTTTGAAATTCCTAAAAAAAAAATTGATTCAATTTTTAATAATTAAAATTTACATATTCAGAAACTACATTAAAAGTCATACAAATCTGTAAAATTCAAATTAGAATATAATTAAAAATTGATATTTTAATCAAGTGAATAAAATGAAACTATTTGATAAAAAGAATCAACTTTGCAAATCAACTTGGACCGGTGGAAATAGTTTAGATGCAATTATATGGGAAAAATGATGATGATCCATTTTACGTATAACAAAAAATAAAACTGAAAAAAAGAAATAAATAAATGAAAAACATCATACGATGAAAAGATGTACACATAGAACTTCTAAAGAAAAGTACAAATGATTATACATTTCTTTATATGCAACATTTATTATTCTCGAGACCGTAGTCAAGCACAATTGTGCATGTGTAAAAAAGAGTCGGGGCCATGAAAGAAGATGCTAAACTTATCCGGTGATTTATCATCACTTTTCTTATGATTTCTCATTGCATAGCTAATTATTAATAAAATTATTGCTTATTCACTTATATGGATATAACTACCCAGGTCTCGCCGGTCAATTCCTAGGCTTCGGGCATCATAGGCCGGTACACCCCAACTCAGTTTAAGAGTTTGTTATTGCTTAAAATATCATTTTCATATATGGTGTCTAATATAATAAAAGTAGTGTTTAATTATGTATTCTACAATTGAAAGTTGCATATTTTTAATTATGACTAAAAACCTTTTTCACCTTATTCTGATCTAAAATATTTTATTCAAATAATACAATAAAAGTAAATTTGACACATCATTACTTGTATTTTTAAAATCACTATTATTTTTAAGCACGGTCAACTTTTACAATTGTGTATGTGTGTTTGTGTGTATGTGTGTGTTTATACACAAAAGTGTTTGTGTGTATGTGTGTGTTTATACACAAAAGAGTCATTTCAATCTTTTTTACTATTAATTTTATTTGACAATTACCTCATTAGAAGTAAAGTATTATCCAAATTCAATATTATGGATACATGTTCAAATATACAAAATAAGAGTTACTCCCTCCATCCCTAAATAAACTTCCAACTTTCTTTTTTCGTCCGTCCCAATTAAAATTTTCACTTTTCTTTTTTGGTAAAGAGTCATTTCAATCTTTTTTACTATTAATTTTATTTCAATCTTTAAGTCTGGTCTGGTCTGATCTGGTCTGGTCTGGGACTGAAAATAGTCCAAAAGAAAACATCCTTAAACTGTGTGTCCAACCCATTTGGAAGTTTTATTAGGGACGAAGGTAGTACATTACTTATTTATCACCACTTTCATTATTGCTTTCTCCCTCATTTGCTTTCTCCCTCGTTTGCTTTCTTTCCCTCTTACTCCGTATTTTTATATTTATATACACGCATCGTGAACAATGGGGGGTGGAGTTAGGCACTCCTAGTGTATTTTCTCAAACCAATATATGTTTGCCCTTACATTTGTGTAGCCCAATTAAACTTATGAGTCTAACAGTTCACTCAGGGAAAGCGAAACACCATTAGATGCACCACATCCACATTTGGTAAATGTGAATTCTACAACGACTCTGGGTACCTTCTCACGAACCACTTATTAATTATTATTGTACCCAATGTAAATTCAAATAATTAATTCCATAAAAAATTCAGCTTATTTCATCATAAAAATATATGACTCTATCACATTTTAGACTTAGTTCACAATTTGATTTTTTTTTTATTTACGTTCAAAGGAAAGCAATAGATTTAGAGATATCAAATCTAATAATACAATCTATGGATATAAAATTAAGTATACTGCAATATTATAATTAAACCTTGATAGATTAGTTTGAAACTTTCACAAGTAAACCACGTGCATATATGATGGACAAAAGAACTATAGAATCAAAGATGTAACTTACTACGTACTCCGTATTTACTAACCCCAATCAAGGTTCAAAATAATTATCAAATGATAGACTGATATTGTGTGAATTACAACACTATTTTAGGGACAATTGCTTAGATTCCAACCATTAAAGGGAAAATGATTCTCCCTGAACAAAGTTTAAAGGCAACATATATGTACCGTGAGTAATTTTATCTAATTTCACAAGAGATAATCAAGAGAACAAAGAGAAACGTGGAGAGATATGTAATGTGAGGGAGCATATAAGTAATACTACGTATAATCAGTTCATCAGTGATATTATGCTTAAGATATGTGGACCTAAGTTTCTTGATCAAAGAAAATGGTTCTCCATGAATAAACTGTCATTTCAAAGAAATTTACAACAAAATCTGTGGAAAATGATCCTTCTTTTACAAAGGTTCATAGTATGTAATTTTATCTAATTCCACATTATTTTCACAAGAGATCATCAAGAGAATAAGAGAAACATGGACAGAAAATGTAATCTATCAGGTTTTGATGAAGAACAAATCCAAAATTGCACTGTGCTTAATCGGAAAAGGAGTGAAACTCCAAGGATAAAAGAATCGGGTACCATGCTTATTACATCTTATGAACCGATACTCAAGCAAAACACATGCATACAGCATATAAGAGTCTTATGTAGTGTTTTAGTGACTTTTTTTTATAAACTCCAAGTAGTAAATAAAAGAGGGGCATAAATCACTTTTTTTTTACCAAATGTTATGAAATGGATGAAAGATACAAAGCCCATTTGGTAACACTGAAATCGACTGAATCAATTGATCTTGCTGAAATTTATGAAGTTCTGGCTTAAGTGCCTGTATGAGCTGATTTATGAAAAAATTAAATTTTAAATATACTCCTATTTTATAAATAAAATAATGAAAAACTATATGTAAAAATAGCTAAAATGATCCTCTACAGTAAATTCAGTCAAAACAGCCAGAAAAGTAACTTCAACCTTACTTTTCTTATTATTACACATTTTAGCGAGCGAAATCAAAAGTTACGTATTTGGTGAAAAAGTTGACTGATAAGTCTAATAAGATGAATAACAGTGTTAAAAACGGGCTCACAAATTTACCTTTATTTTCATTTACTGAATGTTGTTATCTTATTTGTATTTAGAGAATATACTTTTATTGTTTTTCCTAGATGTTTCAAGAACATATACAAATTACACTCATATTTTCTATAGTTTAAGCCAAACCAAATGAGCGCATAATATCATATCATTCCTTGGGTTTTCATATCACATTTTTTTTTTAATTGAAACCACTCAAATATTTTTCGTAGTTATTTTTATATATATATTTTTTTTTCAAAATAATAGATTTTATTCATAGAAAAATAAAGTACAATGCGGGAAAATAAATAAAGTAAAAAAACTACATAAAAGAAAATGTAAAGACAAAAACTAGACCCAAGGGAAATCTCTGGACAGTGATCTAGTCGTCATGCTATGCCGCCTTTTGTTCTTTTGAGATTTCCTGTAGATTTTGAGTTGAGTGTTCAGGAAAGTGTTCTTTTGTTCTTTTGGGTTTTCATATCACATATTACTAAAAGGAAAATGTTTCATCCTTCCAATGTTGCAATAACATACATGAGCAAACCCACCTAGACCAAGACACATGACCTCATAACTTCATAAGAAGTAGCGACACATTGATAGATACCAAAGTGGAGTTGCATTCATAAGAACACGAATCCTCATTTGTGGTTTGGGCAATAAACTTAATATCATAGGTAAATCTTCCCAGATGTTGGCAAATCATCAGGAGCACAAATATGGAGTACCAAGTTCATATAATGTGGAAAAAGAAGAATTTGAGTAAAACACCCATTCTAGACAAAATGAATTGTACACTCAGTGAAACTTAACAATCAACTATGCTAAAAACTTGAACTATTTACAAATATGAAGTTTTACAGAAACATTGAAATCAGCAATAACAGGCTCTTCAAGGTTTAAAAAGATCACATCTTGGAGCTCAATTCCAATTCAGTTTAATGTTCACAACTTTATATGCTTGTTGAGGATAACAACTTTACATTTTACAGAAATATCTTCAATTCCAACATCTCATTGTATGATTTCTGCAATTTTTCATCATTACCTTTCATTTCAGAGTTGATGATGCAAGTTAAACTAAGAAATGATAAATTAAACAAAATGCATATGATACTGGTGATATAGAAACTCTTAGGGGAACAAAGCTGGTGAAACTAAACTACTACATAATAAACTTTGCAGAATATCAATCTAATAATAGCAGATTGTTTTAAATCTGCACAAAAATTAACAATAATAATAAGCCATAGTAAAAAAAGTAAAATGAATAAGAACTTAAGAAGAGTTGTGCCATATGGAAACATAAATAGAATAAGAACACTCCTCTACAATAAAAAGAATATAGTGAGTAGATTTATATTTGTTCAAACAGGGGAGATTGAACATAAACCCAACAAAAGTATGAAATTAGCGAAATTTTAAGTAGAGGCACCAGATTTCTAACAAATCTTTAATGGAAGGAGAACGAAATAAGGCCCTTTCCATGCAATGTTGAAAGTGGAAAGGAGAAAGAAGAAAATAAATGGCAAACTCAGTGATGAATCCAACCCTAGCGTTGGTTAATTATATTTAGCATAAAATTAGAGACTATTATTAATATATAAATATAAGAGAGTAATACTGGTTAGAATCTAATATCCTGACTGAAACATCTTAACTAAGATGTATCATGAATCCAACCCTAGTTTCGGTTGGAAAAATCATTTTAAAATATAAACACAATATAAAGATCTTCTATTCATCATCGTCGTCGTCGTCATCATCATCATCATTATTATTTCCCCAGTGCCGCAAAGGCTCCCCCACCTACGGTGGGGTAATATAAGGATCTTCTTATATGAGTGTGAAATGATTAATGTTACCTATTGATTAAGCTCCAACTTTCTGAGGCAAATGAGCATGCATATTGCATTCAACTTTCTTGTTTTCCTGAAAATTAAATGCTAGATGAAATTATGACAATATAGTAGATTTGTCATATGCCAAGAGGTGCATTTATCCCGTTTTTGTGTGGATGGTATGCTCTATTCAGACATGGTTACTCATTTATTTATTTGATTTGTAACAATCCTAAAGCTCACTTTTGAACTGATTTACTCAGTTTGTCTTTTCTGAATGGCTAGTTATATAAGAACAGAGGGGGTACTCAACGTGCATATGAAGTATGAACCTTAAACATGAGAGAATGTATAGTAGTTCACCTTTTATAGAGATGGATATTATAAGTTTATCACCACAACTGTTTTCCTCTCCTATGATTTTTTACGAATGTGCCATCTTCATCATCTTTTGCTACTTTGGAAGGAAGAGCAATCAACCCAAAAGACTTCTCTACATGTCTTCTATTATTTCATTCCAGCCAACATCGTCTAATACTACTCTTTTATGTACAAATTTATAGCATAGTTAATATGATTTATTCTGTTATGTTCTTTGCATAACCTTAAAAAATAAGATGTTCACATTTAATTAAGTGATGATTCAGGTGGATTAACTTACAAAAACTAAAATCAATTCTAGTCAATATAAAAAACCTATATCAATATAAAAACCATATGAAATAGTTTCCAACCCTCGAAAATTGATAAGCTTATACTTTCTGGAAAAATGATTAATAAGGGGAATCAAATAACCTTGACGGAGAGAAGAGTATTGAACTCCTTGATGAGCTCAACAACATTCTTTGAAGTAAATATTAAAATGAAACTTAAATGCAAGACCCATTTGTTGTAGTCTGCACCTCACTGGACTGAAGAAATGCATATGGATGGTTTAGAAAAAAAACATTGGATCACTAATGTAAAATAAATAGAAGTTGAAATTAAAAGGAAACTGAACAATTAAAGATCTAAACTTAAATGGTTCATTCAATGGAAGAAACTCTCTTTTCGCCTCGATTAGTACTCCTTTTTTATGTTTGGATCCCTGGATATGTTAAGAGAATAAAATATACAGTAAGGAAGTAAAGAAAATCAGAAAAAGAAATCCTTTTAAGTAATATGTTCAGATTTGATCAATTCTTCAAATACTTTTCAAAAAGAATTAAAAAAAGTAAGTCATTTAGACCTATAAGAAATATATAAAGTGAGGAGACTCATAGCATAGCATGTAATAGAAACACTTGGTCTTGTAATTCTTCTATCATGAAAGCTATCCACTTTCTTATTTCTCCATTTCCCATCTATCACCCTTCAGCTTTCTTAACACCCCAGATTCCACCTTACCATGCTGGCAGAATTGAGAGGTCTTATTCTCAATTAACCACAAGTTCTGATATCAAAACATAATGAAAGTTAGAAAAATTCATAATATAACAGAAAAAGCACCATGTTTAATTGAATGAAAGTATACCCCTATTGTCATGCTTTTTTCATATATGTGGGCGTCGTTGGCTGCTGGTGAAGAATATAAAGCAATCTTGATGAATATATTTTGAAGTAATCGGTGGTCATCTTTTGAAGGGCCATTGAAAACTGCTATGAATGAAGCAATGAGATGGATGTGATGGAGTTGAAATAAACAGACAGTCACGGATGTGCTTTGGTTGAGCATCGTTGGCAATTGCGGCCGGGCCTCCTGACCTCCACACAAGCAGCCTTCATCTCCATCTTAGCTTCTACGGATTGAGAAATAGGTGAGAAGAAAGGTGAGCAAGAAAAGAGGGGATGAAACTGGAAAAAAGGTAAAGGAAGAAATAAGAGTTATAATTGAATGGTGATAAAGCCTGTTGATCCAACGGTGAAGAATGATTTGTATTCCTATTACGTATAGAAGATTAAATAATTTTGTGAATTAGTTGAAATATAAATAAAGCAATTAGAAAAGAATTACTCCATATTTCGAGTAGAGCCCATTTGATATGGTAAGATCGAATTATGGGAGCATATGGGTCAGCTTATCCATCAATCTTTTGGTCAAACTATTTTAAGTCATGTAATTTAGCTAAATTGTTCAATGATCAAATTAAGTGAGGTTGAAATTACTTTTATGGTTAAATTGACACAAATTATTCAAAGCCAATTATTTTAACCTTTTCATCTCACTTTTCCTTTGTAATACCACATCCGCTCTCCTAAGATTGAGATAAGGAGTGATGCGGTTATTAAGAAAATTGGGATTGTGTGATTAGTATTGAATTGATAAAATGTGAATAAAACAAGAATAAATTGTAATCTCCCAAATATTAACAAATATGATATGCGACAAACTTAATGAGACGAAATAGTAATACAACTATATTCTAAAAATAATTTCTTTGTAATTCATTAGATTCAATTAATTGAGTCACTTCAGTCAGAATTTGATAAATTTCAATATATTCAACTGATTAAGTCAATTTCAATGTTACCAAACAACCTCTAATCATAATACAAAGCACTTATTTTCTTATTGCTAATTATTTATGTTACGGAGCAATAACTTTTTTCTAATTTGCAATTTAATTAGATTTGCAAATAAATTTTTTTTCTAATTTGCTAATAACTTTTTGTATAATCAATAATTCATTACTTAGTGGCTTTTATGGTTTACTTGTTTTTGTAATAATTTTATTTATATTATACTCCATTATCAACTAATTTACAAAATTAGTTAATAAAAAAATTAAAATATATATAATTGAAAATCTAAAGGAGCAACTTTAAAAGTTGCCAATTCTTTAATAAGTTTTACTGTTAAAATAAATGGGGTGGTGCGCCCTCCTTTTGGGAATTTGAAAGCATTTTGCACAAAAGTAAAGTTTTAGCACATAGGTGCCCTTTGGCTACAAGCCTGCAACTTTAGTTTTTTTTTGTTGGGTGTGTTTCGGAAAATAAAGAAAATTAATTAAAATTAATTAATTAAATAAAATGACTAGAGAAAGACAAGAAAGGAGATGAAGCATAATTAGTCAAAGCTCGTGCAACGCACGATGTCCTTAAAACGTATTTGTTGCCTCCCACGGTGCTAGGAGCGTTGCAACAATCGTTTCCCAGGATACGATGACTACGAACGTGTGTTGTTGCAAACCACCTGCCAGCCATTATATAGGAGGATTTGTTGTGTGTAAATGGTGAATTAATGGACCTGAACGCTGGACATCAATGTTTAAGGCAAATAAAGAATTCAAAAGACTATGTTTCAAAATTTTGGGAAACTTCTCTGTATAGATAATACATATAGTCGTAATGGAAAATCTCCGATCTTTAGAGCACATTGAAACGTTTAATCTATCTTTGCTCTTGACCTTTCAAATGGAAGGAAACATATAGTTGGTCGCGTGTGAAGATATTTTTCCAAAGATATAATCTGACCTTATATAAGGGTTGACCATGACTTCTATTGATGCTCATTACAAAACATACCATAATCGGGAATTGTTTCCTCTGAAATATGAAAGGAAGTGTTACATTAGTTGAAAATGATTGCACTCTCCGAATGTTAACAATGCCTCTATATTTCTTCCATGATGATCTTTGATTCTAGCATGCGTCTTCCATCTTTGTAACAACAACCTTGTTCCATTACATAATCCTTTTACCCAATCTATATATCTCAATAGCATGAAGGGAGCATCAACCCTTAGATGTAATTCGTGATTAGGTAGTCCTGACATTGAGAGACGATTAAAAAATTGCAGAGTGTGTATGCATGTTACTTTGATGATATTAACCCTGACAGTGTTATCTAAGCTAATAAGTTACATGACTTGATCATCGTGAATAAAAAATAGTATGTAATCATTATTTTCCAAACAACATGCATCTAAAGTACGTGCAAGTATCACTCTTTCTTGCATGTAAGTGTGATCACTGGGATGTTTTTATAGTTTGGGAAAAGTGCTATTAACTACAACTGTAAGGTACTTATCTTCCGCTTTCATAAGAAATTCATATGGGATATTCACATATGGAACTCCATTTACTTGTGTCCCAATAACACCATCTCTGACCTTTAACATCCATGCATTGGATTTTTCAATGTCACTCTTTTCATTAAAAGCACTTGAAAGTAATCTCATATTATTCGTGAGATGTCAAAGTACGCAACCACTCCAAAGATAAGGAGAGTTGATCGTTGTCAACACCATGTATGCTCTTCCCCACTTTGGAATGACCCCCGCCCCAGAAGTCTCTTCCGCGAACAATAACCCCCGCCCCAGAAGACACGATTCTCATTCTATGGATCACTCAAGCTCAATATATATTTCAAAGTCCTATATAAAGTCTCAAAACAATGTATGGGTGCCATTGTCACTTCCTCCCATAAAATTAGGGATGTGGCTTGCCCGAGAGCTTTGTTTTCAGACTTCTTTGATTGATATTACAGCTTGGTTTTCAACAATGTTCAATGGAAAAGAAAATCGGGTTGAGTTGTCCTACCTCCCAACAATAGCAACGATGTTATTCCAACATCGTTGTACTTTTTGAACATCGATGTTATTAGCATATTTTTGACCAAAATGACACAATTATTTATAAAATAATCAGATAAGGAGAACTTTAAACTAGGGCGATGGGAGTAAAAAATAAACAACGATAGTTATAGAATAAACGAGTCGAACAATTTAGTGCCGTTTGGTAACACTAAAATCGGCTGAATTGGATGATTCTGCTGAAATATATGAGGTTCTGGCTGAAGTGGTTTTATTGGTTAATTCTGATGATTTATGAAAAATTATATTTAAAATATATTTTATTAATAAACTAAAGAAAGAATTATATGAAAAAATAGCTAAAATGATCATCTACAGTAAGATCAGCCAATACAGCCAGAAAAGTAACTCCAACCTTACTTTTTCTTATTATTACACTATTCAAAACGCGTTAAAAAGTTGGTTGATAAGCCTGATAAACTAAAAAACAGAGTTACCAAACGGGCTCTTAATGTTTGCCAAATACATGTAGACTTTTCTACCCTCCAAATGTCTTAAAATGTTTCAATTGGATACATCCGGGTTTTGAGAATCCCAAAATGTCTTAAAATGTCCCAATTGAATACACCCCTTAGATCTGTACATTTTTATTACTTGAATTAATACGGGATAAGCTTTCATAAAAAAAAGTAGACTTTCTCTTTACATGATATCAATTTTCTTGTTTGAGTATCATATTCCATTTGAAATAGGTTGTCTACATTCATATAGCTTAAGAGAAAATATAGGTAAAGCTAAACATAACTTTATTGAATAAGCTTAAAATTCTTTATAAAATGCATTTCAGGATTTATTGTTACAGGCACATCGAGTAGAGCCAAAAAACTACTTAAGATTTTCATTTTTAGTCCTTTGACTATTGTGTTAGTGCTACTTTTGACAGTTGATTTTGAATTGCTACACTTGTTAGTTCTTCGACTATTGTGCAAAAACTACTTTTGATACCCGTCTTTGTAGTGACACTTTTATCACTTTTAGTCATCCTTCGACTTTTATGAAAGTGACACTTTGATCCTTCAACTATTATCCCAATGAAATTTTCAGTCCTTGACTTATTGTGCCAAATTCATAGTAGGACTAAAAGTGTCATTTTGACAATACTTGGAGACTAAATATAGGGAATTTGTGTACATCTTTCTATCAATTCCAAGCATGGCATTTTTTTTTCTACCCATCTTTGTAACATTTGTAAACCCTACCCCTTATAACATTTGTACCTATTGGCTATTGTAGAACTCAAATACATTTTCCAAGTCTTCAAATGTCATTCCCACATATGGCACAAGATGAATAACTGCCAAGCTACATGAAATTATCTGTCCGGCTGCCCGAATGATTCATGAATATGCTTTTTGAAAGGATGTGAAGATTATTGATTCAACCAATAATTCAATTCAAATAATAGGTGAGAGAAACTTTAACAAACCTTAGAAGATGTAAATCACAACTAACAAACACTATGTAGCAGAAGTTATTATTTTGAAACAAGCCATCACAAGCAAAAAAGAACACTCATAAAGGTTGTTCTGATCATAATTTTTTTACCAACCAAACTTAAGTTTTTTTCTTCCAATTTCAGTGCTTTAATTACTGCAGTACGGTAAGACTCATGTTATTGACTTATTGCATAGCATAGTTTAGAAAAATAAAAATTGTAATACTACGTAGCATAGAAGAAATTAGAGATGTACGTAGTACATTATTGGTTTGACTTAATCGAACCGTATCAAACCGAACTTAAACCGGACCTTATGCAAATTGGTTTGGGTTTGACAGTATTTCTTTCAAACCGTATTAAACCGAACCGAACCAAAACCGAACAAAACCAAACTGAACTTAAGGAACTCAATAAAACCTTCATATATTTTTAAAAAATAACAAATCCAAACCGAACTAAACCGAATCAAATTAAACCAAACCGATAAAACCTTTGTATAATTCTTCCGACCCGTTCCAAATCGAACCTAATTCAAAGGCATAAAAACCGTATGAGTGTTTTCATTTTCACTTAAAAGCATAAAAGTGTGTGGTTTAATATCAATGCTCGGGATAAGAATAATGTATAGGTGTTTTTACAAATGTATGACCCACGTCTGAATTACCAAAATGATACAATTATTTATAAAATAATCAGATAAGGAGAACTTTAAACTAGGGCGATGGGAGTAAAAAATAAACAACGATAGTTATTATAGAATAAACGAGTCGAACAATTTAGTGCCGTTTGGTAACACTAAAATCGGCTGAATCGGATGATTCTGCTGAAATATATGAGGTTGTGGCTGAAGTGGTTTTATTGGTTGATTCTGATGATTTATGAAAAATTATATTTAAAATATATTTTATTAATAAACTAAAGAAAGAATTATATGAAAAAATAGCTAAAATGATCATCTACAGTAAGATCAGCCAATACAGCCAGAAAAGTAACTCCAACCTTACTTTTTCTTATTATTACACTATTCAAAACGCGTTAAAAAGTTGGTTGATAAGCCTGATAAACTAAAAAACAGAGTTACCAAACGGGCTCTTAATGTTTGCCTCCAAATGAAGTTTAGTAGAAATATCAACAAGCAAATGGATTTGTTTACTTAGGGAGTGTATTGAATTGAGACATTTTGAAACAATTGGAGATTTGTATTCATATAGGATTCTAAAAGACATTTCTAGACAATCCAAAATTGTGCGAGACATTTCAAGACATTTTAAAAGACTCTTCGAGACAAAGTTCAGAGGCTCCTTTATGTGAGTAGCACAGTGCATCGGCTCTACTTAACTCCATCAGCCCTCCACTCACCTTCTGTGAGAGCACTTCCTACTGTTTGCAGATAAGATAGAGAGGTCAAGCTTTCCATATATTTGGCCTTACAGGAAACATGACGGGGAGAAAAGCTTGGACAAACGATGGTTGCTCCGGTTTCTTTTGGCTGGGAACAAAATAGGCTGACACGGAGGTTTCTGGTGCTAGGAAAAATGGTTGAAGAGCAATTTTTGGCTTTCCACGACTAGTCCGTTTGATAATAGGATTTTTCAGTGTATTTTTGTTGTGAAGTCCTGCTGAATCCTAGTCCCAAAAAGAATCCCAAATTGTCTTGGTGTTTTAAATACATGTAGACTTTTTTACTCTCCAAATGTCTTAAAATGTTTCAATTGAATACATCCGGGTTTTGAGAATCCCAAAATGTCTTAAAATGTCCCAATTGAATACACCCCTTAGATCTGCACATTTTTATTACTTGAATTAATACAGGATAAGCTTTCATAAAAAAAGTAGACTTTCTCTTTAAATGATATCAATTTTCTTGTTTGAGTAGCATATTCCATTTGAAATAGGTTGTCTACATTCATATAGCTTAAGAGAAAATATAGGTAAAGCTAAACATAACTTTATTGAATAAGCTTAAAATTCTTTATAAAATGCATTTCAGGATTTATTGTTACAGGCACATCGAGTAGAGCCAAAAAACTACTTAAGACTTTCATTTTTAGTCCTTTGACTATTGTGTTAGTGTTACTTTTGACAGTTGATTTTGAATTGCTACACTTGTTAGTTCTTCGACTATTGTGCAAAAACTACTTTTGATACCCGTCTTTGTAGTGACACTTTTATCACTTTTAGTCATCCTTCGACTTTTATGAAAGTGACACTTTGATCCTTCAACTATTATCCCAATGAAATTTTTAGTCCTTGACTTATTGTGCCAAATTCATAGTAGGACTAAAAGTGTCATTTTGACAATACTTGGAGACTAAATATAGGGAATTTGTGTACATCTTTCTATCAATTCCAAGCATGGCATTTTTTTTCTACCCATCTTTGTAACATTTGTAAACCCTACCCCTTATAACATTTGTACCTATTGGCTATTGTAGAACTCAAATGCATTTTCCAAGTCTTCAAATGTCATTCCCACATATGGCACAAGATGAATAACTGCCAAGCTACATGAAGTTATCTGTCCGGCTGCCCGAATGATTCATGAATATGCTTTTTGAAAGGATGTGAAGATTATTGATTCAACCAATAATTCAGTTCAAATAATAGGTGAGAGAAACTTTAACAAACCTTAGAAGATGTAAATCACAACTAACAAACAATCTGTAGCAGAAGTTATTATTTTGAAACAAGCCATCACAAGTAAAAAAGAACACTCATAAAGGTTGTTCTGATCATAATTTTTTTACCAACCAAACTTAAGTTTTTTTCTTTCAATTTCAGTGCTTTAATTACTGCAGTACGGTAAGACTCATGTTATTGACTTATTGCATAGCATAGTTTAGAAAAATAAAAATTGTAATACTACGTAGCATAGAAGAAATTAGAGATGTACGTAGTACATTATTGGTTTGACTTAATCGAACCGTATCAAACCGAACTTAAACCGGACCTCATGCAAATTGGTTTGAGTTTGACAGTATTTCTTTCAAACCGTATTAAACCGAACCGAACCAAATCCGAACAAAACCAAACTGAACTTAAGGAACTCAATAAAACCTTCATATATTTTTAAAAAATAACAAATCCAAACCGAACTAAACCGAATCAAATTAAACCAAACCGATAAAACCTTCGTATAATTCTTCCGACCCGTTCCAAATCGAACCTAATTCAAAGGCATAAAAACCGTTTGAGTGTTTTCATTTTCACTTAAAAGCATAAAAGTGTGTGGTTTAATATCAATGCTCGGGATAAGAATAATGTATAGGTGTTTTTACAAATGTATGCCCCACGTCTGAATGTACAAATGGGGAAGAATGGAGTACGGGTGAGAGATAAATGATGTTCTTAAAAGCTGTGACAGAGCATGTTTCCATGCCAGCACAAACAAACCCCCATTAATTTCTTGCCCAAGCTACTGATTTTTATGGCGAAGGGAGTATTCAAATTCCTAGCGGTTCTCTCTCAAGTCTTAAAGGGTTGCTTTCTCTCGTCCTGTTTTTGATGAACTAACTAGGCAGGCGCATTTGTTTTGCTGCGATCGAATTTACATCCTAAGGTACGCACATATATTTGAAAGCTACCAGTTGAGTGCAGTCACTGATTCTTCTATTGGTTTACTCAAAAGTTTGACTTGTAGCTTTATAGTAATCCGGAGTTTTGTGTAAACTAGTCCAATTAATACGTGATGATTAATGTATTAGACAATGAAGACTGAAGAGTACTTATAGTTATAGAACATTCCCCTGATCATTATTAAGTTCATTATTATTAGTTGTTGTTTATTAGTCTTTTTACCCATCTTCCCTATTTGGGTATAGGTTTGTTGTTACAGAAGGTTATGGATCATACACTCAGAAAGTTGCCTGAGGCCGATATAAACAGACTGAGCAATATGCACGCCCTTGGTCCTGCTTTGGACTCTGATCCAATGCTGGACTACATTTTCCAGATTCTACTGGAGGAGGATAGCATGGATGGGAACAACCACAACATGTTCCTTGATCCCCTTGCTCTTAGTGCTACTGAGAAATCCTTTATTGAAGCCTTGCATGGTAACTCTTCCTCACCATTTCACAGTAATGATGTTCGTCCCATTGAACCGAAGTCATCTGAGACATCTGATTGGAGCTATGGTGTTGATCTTCCGGATCTCACCATCCTGCCGTCATTAAGCATGACTAACTTGGGTGGCCTAAATGGGGCTTTGTGTAGCCGTGATAGTCTTGATATAGTTCCAAATATATTTTGTGATGATAATACTGAGTCCATTTTGAAAGTACAGAGAGGTGAGGAAGAAGCTGAGAAACACCAATCTCCTCCAGAGACCAGAGATGTTGTTTCCAATATAGAGAAGGACCAATCAGCTGATCCATGCAGAGGGAAGAAGCATTTCCATCCAGATGACATTGGTGTAGAAGAAGAAAGGAGGATGAAGCACTCTGCAGTATATAAGGAGGAGGTGGAGTTATCGGAGGTGTTTGATAAGGTTTTGTTGTGTGTTGGTGATGATGACACTCCCTCTAGAGTTGGCCGCACACAACAGAAAGGGCGAAGTGGGCGCAAGAACCATTCAAAGAAAAGAAGGGATAGTTGTGAAATTGTGGATTTGGAGGCTCTTTTGACTAGTTGCGCAGAATCTGTTGCTGCTTGTGATTATAGCACAGCGGAAGATGAACTGAAGAAGATCAGACATCACTCTTCGCCTACTGGCAACGCAAAGCAAAGGCTCGTTAATTTTTTTGCGGATGGTCTTGCTGCACGGCTGGCTGGAACTGGAACACAGCTGTGTGCAACTTTATCTCAATCTCCTTATGATAGCATGGTCTCTGAGATGCTAAAATCCCACCTATCACCTTTGCCATTTGTGAGATTATCAATTTTCTTTGCAAATAAAATGATTTATGAAGTAGCATCGGAAGCTGAATCACTGCACATTATAGATTTTGGTATTCTTTACGGTATTCAGTGGCCCACTCTTATTCGGGATCTTTCAGAGAGGCCTGGTGGTCCTCCAAAACTTCGAATAACAGGGATTGAGCTTCCCCAACCTGGTTTCCGTCCATCACAAATGGTAGAGCAGACTGGTTGTCGCTTGGCAAAATATTGTGAGCGTTTCAATGTACCGTTTGAGTACAATTCTATAACAGCAAAGAATTGGGAGACACTTAAAATTGATGACTTCAAGCTTGTGAATGGTGGTGAGGTGGTTGCTGTTAACTGTGTTGTTAGACTCGAACATCTATTGGATGAAACAGTAGTTGTTGGGGATGGCCCCTGCCCCAGAGATTCAATTTTTAACTTAATCCGGGAAGTAAATCCTGATATATATGTGCAATCTGTACGTAATGGAGCCAACAACTCTCCTTTCTTTTTGTCTCGGTTTCGGGAGGCTCTCTTCTTCTACTCTGCTGTCTTTGATATGTACGATGTTGTTATACCAGGCCATAGTCGTGAGATGATGATTTTCGAAAAAGAATTTTTGGGACGCGAAATAATGAATATCATTGCATGTGAGGGCATAGAAAGATCACCGAAGACTGAAACGTACAAGCAGTGGCATTCTCGAAATATAAGGGCTGGGTTAAAACCGGTTCCCATAAATCCTGAAGTTTTGAAGAAGTACAAAAGCAAGGCGAGAACAGGATATCACAAAGATTTTCTTTTTACCGAAGACGGCCATTGGATCCTGCAGGGGTGGAAAGGTCGGATTTTTGGTGGCAGCTCTTGCTGGGTAAGTGCGGGCAAGACATGCAACCTCTGAGAGCTAGTACAATAACTATTGCCAAGTAATCTTTCTGTATTTCGGATACTTTACAGGCATGCAAGTAACCTTTCGAGCAATATTGTAATTCACATTTCGTGCTTTCCTGTGTTTCGTGTCCTTACAGCATATCCCACAAGTTGTTCTCCAGAGTTTAAAGCCATAAGCTGTTGTCAAGAAGAACTGTTTACCGTAGAGATCATCGGTTAAGGCCATTTTCTATTTTTGGATTTTTTCTTTAATTTAGAAAATCTTAAACTGATTACATCCTATCAAGGTGAAGTGTTTTCCTAGCTCTTCTTTCAAAAAGTTTATAGTGGTATGTTTGTGTGAACTTACATTGTCTTTATAATGGATGGTTGTACTCTATGATGTTAAACCAAACCAAACCTAGGCAATTGAGCCCAACGGATGGTTAAAACTTAAGAGACCATTTATTTTCGTACTAGTTTATTTGCTATGTAAAATCACATCAGGTTACATGATTTCATGTTTCTAGATTTTTATTTACATTTGTGGGGAATATATATTTCTTTATTTCATATTTTAAATAGGAAGAGAGTCAGAGGAGGAAACTGCAGTGAAGGAAATTATAAGGTATAAGCTGGTTTTTAACATTTAAGCATTGTGAAACAATGTATAGTGTATTTAACTTGTCAAATTATTATTATTATTATAATACTCAGACTTGCAGCCTCATAGTAAACCTTATAGTATAATGTTGCATCTTTTTATGGTGTGGAAATAATTGTGCTTAAATATCACCGCCTTCAGTTTAATTATTATATTTTATATTTGGAAGTTTTAGAGTGTTTTCTTTTAACATTGATACAGATAACTTTTGCTTCTTGGTTATTTCTTCTTCAGTTTTCATCCTTCTGGATATTAATTCTTCACCCCCAGCATTTTCCGCTCGTGGTGTATACTGCAACCATTTCCTGTAGTCATTATCCATTGTTCGGACGTTGGATGCTCTTTCCTTTTTTGACCTTCACTCTTCACAGTAAATTATACGAAGTATTAGATTTTTAGCATATTTGATATTTGGATTCATATTAGTTTGCATTGGAAATAGACCTGACTAAAAAAAGAGTTGGGATGTAAATAGGAGTTCAGAGTTTTTAAACCCTAAATAGGACTAATTTTGGACGGATGGACAAAATTAACCTTCTCACTGCTGATCAACTGCTGATACACTGCCAACATACGCAAATAATCCTTTTCAAGCCTCTGGCTTTGGCTTTGCTGTTGCGCCATGAGCATTTGGTCACCACACTTATACATAGAAAAGTCTAGTTTACTCATACTTTCAAATAGGTCCTCGAACTTTCAAATAGGTCTATATTGGTTTCAGTTTGGTTCGGTTTGAAACGGGTTGGAAGAATTATTACCAAACAAAAACCATACTATTTTTCGGTTCAGTTTGGTTTAGTTCGGTTTGGATTTGTTAATTTTTAATAATATATGAAGGTGTTTTTGAATTTCTTTAATTCGATTCGGTTTTTATCGGTTTCAGTTCGGTTCGGTTTAATACGGTTTGGAAGAAATACTATCAAACTCAAACCAAATTGCATACAGTCCGGTTTCGGTTCGATTTAGTTCGGTTTGGTGCAGTTCGGTTCAGGGCCGGCCCAGGACAAGTGCTGGGTGTGCACAGGGCCGGCACAGGGCCCATAAATATTGAAGGCCCAAAAAAATTTAAAAGTTAGTAGTAGTATTAGGTAATCTAAGCCCAAGAAAAATGGAAGCCCTCTCTTACTTCCAACGCACTCGTTCAAGCTACAAGCAGTCACGCACCATCCTTCAATTGCCCTGACCTCTCAGTCTCTCGGCTATCTGCAAGCGAAGAAACAGAGATGGACGACTGACGAGGAACGCCGACCACCGCCTAGGGCTACGACTGCACCACACCTCGGTGACTCCAGTCTGCTCCTCACCTTAGTCGCTCTCCATGCCATAGTTCGTCAATTATAAAAGATTGATTTTCATAACTTGTTAGGACTATTGTTTATTAATTTTCTTGATTATTATCATATTACTAGTGTAACACCCGGGGCATGCCCCGGTAGTGTTAATTTGATATGGGTGAGGTGACAAATACAGATAAACATTGTGAATTATTCATGGGATATGATCAAATTTTGGTTATAATTGATTTCTTTTACTCCCTTTGTCGCTTTATATTTAACCAAATACTATTTTTTAAGTTAATGATGTTGAATTTGACCAATTATATATTTATATACAATAGTAATGATAATATGGAAATGATATGAAATGTTATTTGTTAAAACTTTCGGCTCATAAAAGTATAAATGTATTAACTTTAATTTCAAATAAATATATTAGTTAAAATAATAAATTATGTTTGAACCAATCTGGCTTGAATTTTTATGATCTGATCTTAATATTTTATTTCTGGTTCAAATTTTTCTGATCTGATCTGAAAATTTCTAATTAATCTAATCTAGATTGAATGTTTTGCATGGGCTAATCTGATTTGACTTTTATTCTGAATAAAATAAGAATAAGTAATATGGAGTAAACAATAAGAATAAGAATAAAAGTAACATAATAGCTTCCAAGGATATCTTATTTACGTTTTTTCTCCAACTTTTCTCTAGACTTTTTCATTAGTTGTTCCATCTTTGTACGAACTAATTAATGGTTTGATGTGTGGAGTCTACATAATATCAAATGTTAGTTCTTTAATGTTTTTCTTCCTCCTTTTTTCCCTCCCTTTTCATTATAGCTATTTCATTTCCTTTTTTTTTTTACCAAATCTCCTTTTTGTTTGGAACTAATTAAATGTTTTCACAATAATGACAATAGATTTTTTGTTAATCAATAACACAGTGACACGCCACCAGTTTGTAACCCCGCTTTACTAAATAAAACAATAAATTTAAATATATAATGAAATTTGGATTCTTAATATGTGTCACGACTACTGTATAAATGTGCACTTCCCATAATGCAAATTTAAACTCAAATTTCACTATAAATATGATATATCATTGATTTATAACTCAAATTTAAAATAATTATTTATATATCCAATTTGTTGTCATATAAAAATAATAAAACTTTATGATTTTTGGTATACTTTTTCTACAATTTGTGTCATATGAAAAATCATAAAAAGTTTTAAATTTTGATGTATTTTTTTTGTCAAAATTGGTGTAGAGATAAATACGAATAAGTTATAATACATTAAATTAAATTAAGATTTTTTCTCTCCTTCCCTTTGTCTAAATGATCAATGATGCATGTAGTGAATAACAATGATGAACCGAGTCAACTTATATGAATTAAGATGTTTTACTTGGATTGTGATTTGCTGATCTGGTCTGGTCTGGTAATGTGTGGTCTCTTTGTATTCTTATAACTATCCAAGTCTGATCTGGTCTAGTCTGGGATAGGTTACAGTCCAAGTAAAAATATGCTTAAATGTTTTAGTAGTAGTCATAATAGAATTTTTATTAATCAATATCATTTTCAACTCAGTTTTGCTATATAAAATAATAGATATTTTTATATATATTTTCACATATATAATATTGGTGTCATATGAAAGATCTTAAAAAGTTATGAATTTTGATATGTTTTTTGTAAAAATTGGATTATAAATATAAAAGTTATATCACTTTAAAAAAGAGAGATTTTTTCTCCTACTATTCCTCTAAATCAGCCGCAATGTACTATACTTAGGTGTGGTGGACATTGACTTAATTAATTGTTTTAATTGTAATGATAATAGAATTTGCATTATCCAATAAGAAGTTGACACATCATTGTTTTTAACTCAAGTTTATTATATAAAATATGTGATATATTTTGATTTTATTGCTGCCTCTAATTATTTATACGGAGTAATTATTAGGGCCATTACTCCATTACGTATACTAATTTTTGATGAAATTTCACAGTGCAGGTTGTTATTTCAGATTTTCTCTAGCCAATTGGCCAAGTAATTGACTATTTTTTTTTAATTATACTTGTATTTAGCAAGTTGGTATAATATGTTATTACTTACTAGTCTATTAATTTAAATTCTTTAACAAATTGGTATTCATTAATTTTACATGATTAGTGGAAAGTATTAAATAACTTGTATTTTAAAATAAAGAGAGATTTTCCTAAATAGGACTAAAACAAAGTAGAATTGTAAAAATAGGACCACTATGTTTTATTGATCAAAAATAGGACTAATTAGATCTAATCTGACAAAACTACCCTTAATGATTTTGTCATCCGCATCGCAGGCCATCAGCAATCCGCATAGCAGTGCCGAAGACATCCTGCAGTGGCCTATCAGATATACATCCTTTACCAACAAGCACTGCACTCATTCCTTTTTATTGCTCTTTCCTGAGGCTGACACCCTTCAAGCAAACCACCGCCACCAGCCCACCACCCATCCATGAGACCAACTCTCCGGCTAATTCGTTTCCTCTCTTCTCTGAGATTGTCACCTTCTGTCAGAAATAACACAATAATGTCATTTTCGTATAAAAATCATGACTTTTTTAATTTTGAATATTTAATTATTTATTATCAATTTGGATTTTGAGAATGCCCCATAAGTGATTATAAGAAAAATGTCACTTTCAAAATCTGAAAATGTTGTAATTATTGGTTATGAAAATGCCATTTTAAATTTATGTCAGTACTCTTATCAAGATGACATTTTCCTGCAAACCACTTAAAATGTCATCTTATTAGTGGCATAAAAATGACATTTGTTTGTCAAATCGGACAAAAACATGTCATTCAAAATTTTGTAGTTTGAGAGTTAATATAGACATCTTGATAGATATATAGAATGTTATTAAAGTGACAATATTTCTAATTACGGATAGATAAAAAATTCAAAATATTGGAAGAAAAAGGAAAAAAAGTTCAGCAAGAAAAATGTCATCTTTTTAAAGTAAATGACATAAAACTGACATTGTTTTGTCAAACGTGCAAAAATATGACATTCTAGAGTTGTGTAATTTCAAAATAATATTGTCATCTTAATAGGTGCAATGCCTTAAAAGTGACATTTTTGTAAATATTATTAATTTATGGCATTCTTAAATTCCAGAGCAATCAAAATTAATAAATAAATAAAATTCAAATTCAAACAAAATAGAGGATGAAGACGATGAGAAGTAGGAGAAGGAGAAGTAGAAGAGGGAGAAGGAGGAGGAGAAGAAGAAGAAAAAGAAACACTTACCTGGATATTTCGAGCGAGCAGCTAGAGGAACATCAAAGCGCAGATAACCTATGGACATGGCATGGGAGAGATCTGGACAAGTGTTCGTGATGGTAAAGTATAATTACTACACTTTGTGAAGGTTTAATTTGTAGATTAGTTGTGAGTTCGATTCCCAGGTAAGGGAGAGAACTGGCTGGCCTGGGGAAATCGGATGAGGAGACACATGACGTACTTGGGGTTCGATGCGGAAGACAAAGACGCAGAATTCCTAGGGGTAAAATGGTAACAGGGAGTCCTATTTAGGAAATTTAAAAC